TAACCAAAGAAGTGGCACAAGTAGACAAATGCATATTGTAAATTCAGTTTCCAAAATTGTGTTGTAAAACTTTTGCTATTTTTAGTTTACATTTTAATATTTTTGTAAGGAACTTGCATAAGCCGAGAACTTCCACCTTTTATTACTACTGGGAAAATAATTTATCTTGCAAGAGTGTGTGCCATATTTTTTCAGGAAAAATTTAGTTTTTTTGTTTTTCTTTTTCCTTTATATCTATGTTTAAGCACCTATTTATACATACCTTCATATAATTTTTTATTATGAATATCAGCTGCTTCACATTCATTTCAAGGTTTATGGTAATGATAGGCATCTTCTGCCTCAACACTAATTGAAAGAACTGGAAACTTTGGGGACTTGTTCTTCAGTAGATTGTGTTCTTGGATCTTGCTTATTAATCTTTGTATCCCACTGGCATTTAAAAAAAAAAAAAAGTTTTATAACCTGATGTGTCACTTAGGACTGATTATACCACTTTCATAATGGTCTAAATATAGGTTTTCTATATATATTTTTCATTTTGCCTTTTTAATCAGCCATTCTCATTCATATGTACATCATCATTGTCATAACATTTATTCTTCCTCTCCATTCCTGACATGCTGATGTCGAGATTGCATCACCCAATTTGCCTTTCCATCAGCCCAGCCCATCATCTTTTTTCCACATCATGTCATTTTAATCACAGTCATATCATTTCATCATCCCTCCCTTTCCCTTCATGTAAAAAATGGGTCATGTCACACTGTAACCAGACCTTAGGGCAGCCTCTGTAAATGTTAAGTTCTTTCTTATATCTCGTCATTAGCTCAGATCACTTATTCTGTAAACAGTTCCCCTCCAGATTTCCCCCAGCATTATCATCATGTCAGTAATCACTTGTCTTGAGATCGATCTTCATTGTTACAATTGTAGTGACACCCGTCTGCCAGACTGTCATTCCACACACTCACCATAAGTGTATTTGTCTCTAGGAATTACCAGGACTGCATCCTTCTATCTCAGTATGATTGGTCTCTCATGCATAATCCTAGCCATTCCTTCATTCCCAAATTAACCCATTTTGTTCTACCTTTTCCTCCAACCTCTTCCAACTTTCTGTCCCAATCATTGTTTTCCTTGTGTTCCAGATCACAGCCAGCTCACGCATCTACTAATATATCCTCTTCCTTTTTTCTTGTGTTCTCTCTCCATGTCCTCTTTTAAAAATTGATTTCCATGCTTATCTCCATGTCCCTATGACTGTAATCATTCCTGTACATATTTAGATCAATACCTGTGTTGACATACATCTCATTCTGTTAAGTAACCTGCTACTATATTGTCTAAACAGGTCAATGTACTGAAATACCCAAAATCTGTAGTATCCTTCTTTTAGTCTTAAACCTTTCTGCAACGTACAACTTTGTCCCAACTGTAGGATGCGTTTCTATGTTGTATCCTTGATATTTTCCCTGAACTTAGCATCCAAAAGGTCATTATAACTTGCTCCAGTGACCTTTAATGCTCCAGTCTTTAACCACCATGAACTCCCAGCACCAACTGCCTCCGATCAGTTAACCTTTCCTTCGACTGCCATACCCACCATACCCACCTCTCACCCATGTAAATACCTCTCCACCAACTTATTTCCTACCTTTATCTCATGAAAGGTCCCTTACAACTTCGGCTTTTTTTTAATTGTCTGCAATGTACATAAGAGGCTGCTTGTCGATCTCCCCTTAGTCATTTGTATAAAGAATTTACAAATTAAAGAGAAAATATGTACATAAACAGTTGTTTTATTACCTTTTTGAACTTTTCTTGCAGCTCCTGTGCTTTTGTATATTTGAGACAAGTAATCCCATACTGTATGTTACTCACACCAGCCTTTGCTAATCATAAAACTTATTTATTGATAATATATTTGTTTAATATATCAAGGCCTGTATAAGTAAGATCTCGTCAATGGTGTGCATTCACGCCCAGGATTACACAACCGTTATTTTCTTAGATGTCGTGGGATTCTACGACATCTGTAATTGTTTCTGTTGCCGGACGTAAAACGTGTACACTGCAATGCACCACATAAAGAGAGTAATGAAAGTCGAGATAACAATATATGATATAATAAAAACTTAAAATCAATATTTGTAAAGGTAAAAAGTTAAGGTAATCATAGAGAATATTAATTATGAAAACAGCCCATTATCACACATTGTAATGAATGGAATTAAAAGTACATCAAATCCATAGGGAAAAAAATTGTATATTCAGTTAAACATTTTCATAATTCGCAAAAGTCAAGTGTGATGTGTAGATTATTTCCTATTAATCGTGAAAAATAGCAGATTATCACACATTGTAATAAATGGAATTAAAAGCATATCAAATCCGCAAGGAAAAAAGAAAGCTACATATTAAGTTTAAAAATTTCACAATTCGCAAAAGGCAAATGTAATATGTAGATCATGCATTGTTGCTTTTTAACTTACTACCA